TTTCATGTCCTCCATGGTCTCGCTATACTTATTGAGGGACTCATTAAATTTATCAGCGGTTTCCATAAAATTCTTGAAAAACCTTATAAACGTGGCCTTGAACTCTATATCCAGTCGTTTGCTTTCCTCCATTTCTGCCATTTGTGACCTATTTCTTTGTCTCCGCATTTTGGCTGCTTCCCTGTGTTGATAGAGTGGCTTTGTGTGCTAGGTGTCCTGTAGGGCCCAGTGGCTCAGCCTCCCCAGTTACCTGAGGTGGACACTCTTGGTGCACCCCCTCGTGGGCTTTGTGCACAGTCTTGTTGTAGCTTGGTTGTTGTAGGATCACTGGGAGGAATTGACCTCCAGGGCAATTGGCAGTGAGAATCAGCTGTGTCTGCAGTGGGAGAACTTCTGTGCTGGAGACACCCTTCTGGGGCAAGACTTGCTTCAGTGGGGCTTTGGTGCTCACTGAGCCTGCACCCTAAGTGTGTCCCTTATGGATCTGAGGAGTTGTGGTCTGGATGGTCCCCCTCTGACCACTGGGTACAGTGGCTCTTGGATCTAAGGAGGTGCTAATTTAGCCTCTGCCTGAGGTTACACAGCAGGAACTACGAAGAGAACTGCAGATTCCCCTTCCTTTTTTTGGAGTTTGGAAGTGCCCTGATGATGCTCAGCTGTGTAGCAATGCAAGCCGCTGTGGGGCCTTGGGCCTTCTCTTGGAAGCTCTGGGTCTATCTGGCCCGGCTGCGGTTAGGTAATTACAGGTTGCAAATGGCCGGGGCATTCATATGCAAAAGCCTCTGCCGCAGCCTGGGCAGGGCGGGGTCTCAAGGAATCAAAGGGCGGAGAAAGCAGCTATGACGGAGCCTCAGCCCCGCCCTAAGGAGTCGCGAGTCCCAGTGTCCCGGCAATGGCTGCAAGCACCTCTGAGGGAAAGCCGCTCTCAAGCTCACCCGCTGCCAGGCAGTCCAGTTTCTCCCCGTATGAGTCCTGGGTCCCCAGAGACTTCCCGGAACCGGATTTCAGAGCCATCGGGAGCTTGTGTCTCCCTCCGGATTAAAAAAGACAGCCGCGTCCTCAGGTCCAGACCCTTTCCGCGCGCGCGAGCCCCCCGTACCTCTGCACTCCACCTCTGCAGCTCCTCCTGCTCTCAGTGTGCTTTTCTTTCCTTCTACTTGTAGAATTTACACTCAGCCAGCCCTCCTGTAGTTCTGGATGATGTCCACCTTGTGTTTTTGATGCATTTATCGATTGTTGTGGGAAGCACCAATTTCCCGGTGTTTATCTATGCCGCCATCTTAGTTTTCCCAGACTAGCAATCTTGAGACAGACATTTATTCGGCACACAGGGCATGTCAGGCATTATTTGAGGGGAAGGGGAAGGGGGAGTACCATTTAAATATGTAAATATAATCTAGCAGGATAAGCCTAGAAATGAAAGTCTTCCAGAAAATGCAGAGGTGGTTCAGTGGAGGGCGCCATTGCTCTATTGCAGGAGTGGTGAGGGGCTGATTGCAGAGGGATTTGAGCATCTCAGCAAGGTTTTGAAAGATGACCAAGGGCTCCCCTGGTGTATGGGGAGAAAGCGCTTTCCAGGTGGGGGCACATCTGTCAGCTAAGCGGGGGTGGAGAGAACCAGCTAGTGCGGGTATTCTATGGCTGGAAGGGGCTGGTGGGAGAAGGACCTCCGTGGGGGCCATGGCAGTAGAGGAGTGCCTCTATGGGTGGGCATCGTCAGAGGCTTGGGCTCTATGCTGTAAGAGACATAGTCACGGGTATGAGAATGCCAGGTCTGCATTTTAGAGGAACCAGGAAGGTGGCAGCAGGGAGGGTGGGAAGGGGCAGAGTGACTGGATAGGGGCAGTGCAGGAATCCAAGCAGGAGGTCACAAGTATCCACAGAGTCAGGAGTAAAGGATGGGCAGGAAAAGCTGGGCTTGACAAACATGAAAGGAAACATCCTAGTTAATCCTCTCCCTAACTACACCTAGGCTTGCTGGGGGGTTGGGGGCGGGGACAACCTCTTTTGGTTCTCATGCCCTGTCCTCCTCTTTCAGTTCTTTGCCACATGATTGGTCCCAGATCTGCTTTGTCCCCTAACTTTCTCAATCTTTGGTCCTCCTGCTCATCTCAGCTTGCTTTCTCCTGGCATCTCCAAATTATCCAGCCTGGGAGATGGCCAAAGGAGGACGAAATAACACACAGAATGGGGAAGGGTCGCCCCGGAAATGCCACTGATGTGGATACAGTGCCCAAGTCATGGTAGACCCTCAGCAAATGGGTGCTGAATGAATGAATGAATGAATGAATGAATGAAATGTGTGACAATGAGGAAAATACAAACAAACCTTATCTTAGTTTGCTGACTCCCTGGTAGGAAAGTATAGACATTATTAGAAACATTTCTGCTGTTATGAGAGCTTTGTGTATTTTGAGACATGCCTGCTCCTTCCATTTATTAGGATGAAACAATGTTGAGAAAACAGGCTAGCCTCAATGGTAGAGTCAAGTCCCACCCACTTGTCAGTAGAGGTTTCCCTCTGGGAGAGTCATACAGAAGTTTGAAGATGCTATGGTTCCCTCCTCTCCCAAAGCCCCTGTGTACACACACCCACATATATTCAACGAATGGGCACTTACCCAAATACCAAGCAAACTGTAACTGTGAAGCTGCCTGCTGTGTCAAAGGCATATGAATGGGTTTGCGTTATCCCCACTGGGTAGTCAGTTCTGTGTCAGGCACTTTACGTGTCTCTATTCACTCCCTTGTGCCTAGCAAGTGCCTGATACATGGCAGGCACCCCATACTTTGCCATGTGAATTAGCTGACTATCTATAGTTCTGGATGATTTGTACTCCAGTCTTCCCAGCTGTGTCTAATGAAGAGCCAGTGACCTGTCTTGAACACATGTCCTTTTGCAGAGTTCGCACCTGTTTTGGTCTATGCATACTGTCCAGGGAGGAAGGACTTGGTTTTATGATGGCAGGGCTTCAAGGGCACTCCATCAGGGTTGACAGGTAGAGAGGGGAAGGTTAGGGGGGTTGATTATACCCACCACCACCTAGGCTCCCTGCTGCAGCTGCTGTGTGAGGACACATCCCAGATGGTGGAACCAGAAAGGATGAAGAATTACTGGTCCAGCATGGCTTTTTCCATCCTGGCCTCCCCGTAGAATCACAGAGGAGCTTTTCCAACAAGCCTCTACCAGGCTTGATCCTAGAGGGGTGGGCAAACTTTTTGACTCAAGGGCCACAATGGGTTCTTAAACTAGACCGGAGGGCCGGAACAAAAGCATGGATGGAGTGTTTGTGTGAACTAATATAAATTCAAAGTAAACATCATTACATAAAAGGGTACAGTCTTTTTTTTTTTTTTTTTTAGTTTTATTCATTTCAAACGGGCCGTAGTTTGCCCACGGCTGTAGACCCAGGAGTCTGAATCTCTGAGGGTAGGGTCCTGGCATTGGAATGATTTAAACATTCCCCAGGACACCTGATTTACCACCAGGCGAGAACCACTGACAGAGAGGAAAGGAGTTACACCTGTCACCCATCCTCCTTCTCCCTTCTCATTACCTTATCAACACAGTGAAAAAGTAGAATTCAGTTTTGAAATATGGCTCAAAGAGACCACTGTTAGTGGCTGCTTTAACAAATAAGTAAAATTAGCCATCCCCAAATGATACCTGAGGCTGCTTTTCTGAATTCACACACACCTGTTCCCGGGGGTGAGAAGGGACACACTGGGTTGTGGCTCTCAGACTTTAAATGGAACTTTAACTCTGTCCATAGTGGCATTTTCCATGAAACAAACACACACAATCCCCAAACTGTGCTGTTCCTTAAAAAGAAAAAAAAAACAAACCTCCCACACCCCTAATATAAATCAGAAGAGCAAACAGACATGCATTACATCCTCTTCTGGCAAGTTTAGATTCTCAGAAGTCAGCAACTCAGGGCAAAGCAAGTCACTACTATTAGTAACTGTCCCACCAGCCTGGGGAGGAGCAGCACCAGAGAGCAGAGCTGCCAGCCGCCAAGTTGGCGTGGGACTATTTTAGGATGCAGAGTCCTGTCTGTGTCCTCCTGCCTGTCCTACTTGATAGCAGAACAAGCTATTTTTTCCTCTGAACAGTCAAGCACCTGGATACCTCAAGCTGCAGAGTCATCATGGTGGGTAAATCTTTCCACTACCTACACGTGGCACAGAACAAACCACACAGTGACTCATAGAACCCCCTCAAGTCCACTCTGAGTGAACGCACACATGTCGCTCACCTGGGCTTATCACCGTTTGCGCTCTAGGTTCTCCAACCTCTCTCTAAAGGGGAATCCATCTGTCTGTTCCAAGTTCCACTCCAGGTTGGCCCTCCTGACCCTCCTCAGTGTGGCCCTGTGTCCACACAACTGCCTCCATTGTCGTTACTCTGCAAACCAGCACAGCCTCTAAAGCAGAGGTGGAGAACATCCAGGCCACGAAACCATTTGGTCTGGCCCTGCCAAGGCATTAGGGATGAGTTAATTAAATGTTTGACCAAATTCAGCAGGCTAATTTTTAAGTTGATAATTTTGTATGGCCCGAGAATGATGTTATAAATATCCAAATGGCTCTTGGCAGAAAAAAGGTTCCCACTCCTGCTCTAGAGAAACAAGGGATTAAGCTGGTTAAGGAGTTCCTGTTTGGGCTCCTTAGGGGCTGCATTGGGTCCTAACAAAATTCATGTTTGGAGTCCTATCTAGAACGTGACTGTATTTGGAGGCAATTAAGTTAAACATATTGATGAGAGTAGGCCCTAACCAATATGATCAGGGTCCTTATGAGAAGAGATTATGACACATACATGAATAGAAGGAAGAAGATGTGAAGAGAATAGAACAGCGGTTCTCAACCTGTGGGTTGCGACCCTTTGGGGGTAGAACGACCCTTTCACAGGGGTCGCCTAAGACCATTGGAAAACACATATATAATTACATATTGTTTACAGTAGCAAAATTACAGTTATGAAGTAGCAACGAAAATAATTTTATGGTTGGGGGTCATCACAACATGAGGAACTGTATTAAAGGGTCGCGGCATTAGGAAGGTTGAGAACCACTGGAATAGAAGGAAGAAGATGTGAAGCGATATAAGGAGAAGACGGTCTACATGCTAATGAGAAGCCTGAAGATTCTCTCTCACCCTGGGAAGGAACCAGCCCTGCCGGCACCTTTGAGCTCAGACTTTTGCCCTCCCCTCCAGAAATGTGATACAATAAGTTTCAGTTGGTGAAGGCCCTCAGTCTGTGGAATTTTGTTCCAGCAGCCCTAGGAAACTAATACAGGGTTTTTACACATACATCAATTATAACAGTTTAGAAGCCCATACATTTTAAGAACCCAAAGCGCTGTTCATCTTCATCATATTTTCTGATAAGACCTGGAGATGTTGCAGTCATAAGTAAAGTGCTGTTTCTAGGCCTTGTATTTTGGAAGAAGTGTTGAAGATGGCTATGTGTGTGTGCGCGCGTGCGTGCACACATGATTCCCAGTGACAACCATGGTACAGATCCCTTTAAGGCCTACATCAGTGATATATGTTATGACCAAGGTGATCTGCAGAGCCCTTTACCTCCTCATCACATTTTGACAAGTGGCCACATCTGCCAGTTTACTTTACTCAAAAGCCTCAGAAACTGGTGGTGTCAGGCAAACATAATTGTCCTGGCACCACTTACCAATTTTTAATTCAAACCCTGAGATCTGAGGATGCTTCAGTCTTGCTGTTCTCAGTCTTCTGCTGACAGCTGGCTGCACATCTGTCTTCTGCGGACAAAAAGGCTCATCAAACAGGTCACAATTCAGAGGTTACCTGGAGAGTGCCAGTGCTTAGGTGGGTGGGCTTGACTCTGTCATTCCTGAAGCTTTTGCTGGTGTGGGTTGATTTTCACGGCCTTGCCACTCATGGTTGGTATTAGAACATGAAGTTGTATTAATGTTACCTGACTGCGTGGAGCAGCAGTTTCCTCACCTGCACACTGACCATTGAAACAGTAGAACCAAGTGAGGTGAAATAGCCTAATTGCTTACTTAGCTGGTCCAGAACCAGGCCAAGAGCATGCAGTAGTTGTTAGTGGCTGCTGCTATTATTCTGATCAATATTATCTTCATGGCAAGTCCAGTCCTGTGGTTGGCTCTGAGGGGATAGAGGAGGACTGAGGAACCATCTTTCAAGTGCCATCTGGTCCCCTGTCCCTGGCCACATCTAGCTAATTAAAAAGGGGCCACTCAGGATGTGAGCAGATGTGAAAAGGAATCCTAAGTTAGTGCTCCCTCAAGTGGCTTTTGTGAAACCTTATGCTCACACAACTGCAAGAAGAGGGTCTCTGTCCAGTCCTCCAATTATCCCAGACTTCACACTTGGAGGACAAGCCGGTGAGCTCCTGGGCACTTCGGACAGGGCCCTTCAATGTCAGGTTCCCAGAGTCTGTCCACTGTCGTTTCTACCTTTGGTTGCATCTGACTTTAGTTTCAAGACCAACTTCTTACAGCTTTGAACGTTAAAAATCATTTATAGGAGCGGTGGACTGTCTCCTTTGGGTTCAATAAATGATAAAGGGTAAAAATAATGGTCTAAAGTTTGAACACTGTCAGCAGTTCATTTTAAAAGTACAGGGCTTTTCATCCAGTTATAGAAAAGCAAGAGTTACCTAAAATGTCTCTATTAGTCAAAAGAGACTTCATGCTGGACAGCAGACAAATACGCCTGCAAGTATGTCGCTTTCTCCACACAGAATACAGCACACAAGAAATTCATGCTGATTTCATTGAAAGCAGCTGCAACCCATACAGCAGCACACCCAAAGATTTTGATAACATGAGCCAAAGAGTCAGGTAAAGGCTTTGTGAAATGACTGAATTGATCAGATTGTGTGATAAACCCCAACTTTTATTTTGTCCACAAAAAGGTTAAGCTTATCTTTTCATATTACCAATGAAACCCTTAATATTATTTTACGATTTCTCTAAAGGTATGAGACAAAATCGACTTGGTGTATCCTCCATTCAGAAAGGTAAGGTGAGCAATTGTGAAAGAGAAAAAGGAGCTTTTTCTGACTTTGTCACTTAAGAAACCGAACCCTGAAAAGAAATGCCAACAGATGGAGGAATGTACTAGAATGAGTGATTCGTTCTTTTAAAGTAATTACTGGTTTGGTAGCAGTGCTGGTTCTCTTGGAATGCCTAATCAGGCATTTTCCCCAAAGCCTATTACCTTGTACTATGGAAATAATTTGGTAGCTACGGTGCTGCAATGAGCAACTTGTAGGCAGGGAATTCATAAAGGTAGGAAAGGCACAGTAATGGTCAGGTTCCTGAAACACTTCTGTGCACAGAATCCTGAAACATTAATGACTTCATTTCTCCCATTCTTACATTGCATTTCGAATAGTTTATGTATATTCTTCATTCCTCCCTTTTGGATATTGAAATCAGCATGGAAAAAGCAAAGAAACTGATTGGGATTTTAATAACTTTGCTGAGTTCTCACCTTCATTTCAGATATTGAATGCACTAGAATAGGTAATATAACACAATATGCTAGGTGAAGGACCCCGAGTTAAATTAGGTAAGATTTTTAAAATCAATACATAAAATATTATTGATAACTACACTGAAGTCTGTGACTTGCAAGCTGTATGCAAGACTTTTAATTTTGATTACAATAAAAAGGGTGTGCCTATTTTAAAAGAAGTACATGGGCACCAACAGAACTATTATTCATAGCATTAACGTAAACTTGGAAAGCACTTAACTAAGAAGCTGTTCTTTTTAAAAAGACTTCCTTAGTTTTCATTTGAGATCTTTACCTTCCTGCATCTTTTAAAATGCAGGCTGTAGTGCAGGTGACCTCTACGATCTCTTCCAAATCTAACATGTGGTTCTGTGATTCTATAAAACAAAATGATATTCCTTTTCCCCTGACCCCCAAAGTCATCTTCACTGTGAAGAATGAAAAAAAGGTAAGGGACTGCTCCAGAGAGTTCTGATTGCCAAAAAATAACAAAGGCATTTCTACGAAATCTGCTCCCACATAATTTGTATAAATGCTATTTGAAAAATAAACTGAGACCCCTGAGCCACCCCTGGGGCTTGTCTCAATTCATAGGCACCTTACATCAGAGCCAGCATTGATTCAGAATGAACCTCTGACGTTAAAGAGTTAAACCCCGCTCACTTTGAGATGTCTTTCCAGACCTGCCACATCCATCCTATTCCTAACTCAAGAATTAAGTAGAACCTAAGCCCCAGAAAAGATGCACTAGCAGGGTAGTTACTTGGTAACAACAGACCTCAGTCAAGAATTAAGTGCCCTTCTCCACTGGAGTTAGGATGCTATTTGCTTGGTATCCCAGGGGCTCTGGCTCTAGTGAAATTGGCAGAACAAGCATTATTTGATTAGTGTGAAAGATCCTGCAGTGAAAGAGACAGAGGAAGGTGACGAGGGACTGATCGTTTCTGATACACTGGCTGTAAAAAGACCAAATAGAGGTCATTCAAGTCTTCTAAACACAAAGGTTATTCTTCATAAATCTAGAAGAAGCCCATATGATTTTATTCAGTAACATTTAATATTGATTCGGGAAAACATCAACCAACTTGAATATGATGAAGAGCACCTAATGTGGGAAGATAAAACCCTCGTGCACCTGTCTGCAGCCAAGTGGGAACATACTTCAGGAGAGTCATTCATTCTCCGCTCTCAAGTCCTCTGGGGTTTCTTTTCGGTAAAGCTGCCATCTGGTGCAATAGGTGAGAAGACAGCCATCAAACTTGTCCCTTATTTCAGTATTGAGTGAAAAATCTTTAGCCCTGATGCAAGATTTAACTACTGAGGAAACCAAAGGAAGAAACAGGTCTGAGAAACCAAGACCTTGAACCTCTACCTCAGAGGTGAAGGTCCTGGAAAGGACAGGCACCAGGCATTTCCTTGACAAAGTCTGGCCTTGTTACTTATGGAGACACTCACACCACACCTCTGCCTCTCCCGTGAAATTTCTCAAGAGCAAAATTTTCACCTTTACACTAGCTGCTGCTCAGGAAAAGCAAGCAGAGCCAGGGGGCAGATTCAGCAGAGGGTGTCTGGGCCTCGGGCAGAGCGCCCCACCTGCAGGGCACCCACCTGAGAAGGTGGGGAGGAAACCGTGTGTGTGCACGCGCGTGTGTGCGTATGTGTGTGTGTGTGGTGCGGTGGTAAACTAGGTTGGACATCTGGATCCTGCGTTACACATAAAGTTCCACCTTTAAGGACATTATGGGGAGGGAGACGTGGTGAAGCGAGAGGGAGGAGAGAGGAGAGTGGGGGAGACTGTGGCTGGCAAGGAGGAAAGGCAGAGAGGGAGGCTGTGATGGGGAGGGGATGGAGGGCTGGAAAGAGAGGAATAGATGGAGGAGTGGGGAAGAGGATAAAGGACAGAGAAGAGAGGGTAGACCTGAGGGACACCAGGGGAGGGAGTAAGAAGGAGAGGAGAAAAAGGAGAAGGCAAGAAGTGAGAAAGCAGGAGAGTGCATTCTGGAGAGACAAGAAGTGAGGAGAGCGGCGGCGGAGACAGGGTGGGGGGGGATCAGGAGCGACCGGGTGGAAAAGTAGGGAAGAATAATAACGCATTGGGGGAAGAAGTGGAGGCTCCAGGAAGTCCCCGGAGTCTCCCGGTTGGAGGCCCGCTCGCAATAGCAGTCCGGTCCCGCAGCGAGATGGCAGAAGGGGCCAGCTCCCTGGGTAGGATCACGGGCCGCGCGCCCCAGCCCTTCCCCGCTTACCTGGCCCTTGACCAGGCTGGCAGCAAACTGGCGCATGACGGCCTCCACCGTGTAAGCGCTGGACCAGCCGCGCGGCGTGAGCAGCTCCATGCAGATGGCGCCGCCGTCCAGCACGTAGCCGTTCTCCAGGCGCGGGCTGAGCACCCGCATGAACGGCGGCGAGAAGGGGAAGTTGTCAGGGAAGGTGAGGTTGAGCAGGATGAACTCGGTGTTGGTCTCCTTCATGTCCTGCCACAGCACCGAGTCCTTGTCCACCTGGTGGAGCTTCACGTTCCAGTCGAACAGGCTCTCGTCCACCAGCTCCACGGAGATGAAGCGGTCGCTGAGGCGCGCGATGTCCTGCAGCTCCTTCATGAGTCGCCGGCTGCGCACCTGCGTGCAGTGCTGCTGGCGCGCCACGGGCATCAGGCTGCCGCTCGCCGCCGCCGCCGCCCCCGTGGGGCCCGGCCCCGCCCTGGCGCCTGTCGCCGGCTCCCGGGGCCCCCCGCCGCCCGGCGCCCCCGCCGCCCCTGCCGCCGGCTGCGGCGGCTTGTCGCGCGGTGCCAGCTCCGGCGCGCGCTTGCCCTTGCCCTTGCCCGGCCCGGGGCTGCCGTCGCCCGAGCCCCCGGGGGGGTGCTGCTGCTTGTGGCCGCTGCTCTTGGCGCCGCCCTTGCCGCGCAGCGACGCGCTCTGCTGGCCGCCGCCGCCGCGGTGGTTGTGGTGGTGCTTGGGGTCCTCGGTGTCCCGGTTGTGCAGGCGGATGAGCCCGATTTTGCGGAGCAGCGTGGCCATTTTAGGCTCGGCGCCGGCTTGAGGCTTTACTGGGCTCCTGCTGCCGGAGCCCGAGGGCCGGGGCGCGGGGCGCGGCGCGGGCCACTCCGGGCACCAGCTGCCGTGGCGCAGCGGAGCAGGCAGCAGGTGCGCTCTCCGGCCGCTGGATCGCCGCTGTCATATGACGGGGCCCGCTCTGGCTCGGACTCCGGCCGCCCGGGGCGCGGAGGGGAGGAGAAGGCGCGGCGTAGCTGGCTGTCCCCGGGCTGGTCCCTGGGCACAGACCCCCGGAGCCCGGGTCCGTGGTCCTTTGTGCGTGGCCGCAGCCGGGCTGGCCTGAGGTCGGAGCTCTGCGCCGGGGCGCGCAGAGACGCTCGCAGCGCCCCGGAGGCAACGAGGTGGCAGCGGGCACGCGTCTTGCGCGCCCGCCGGACCGTGCCGCGCTGGCGGCTACCGCGGGGCCCCGGCCGCTGCCGCTCGCGTTGCCGCCGCCGCTGCGGCTGCTGACATTGCAGAGGCGGCTGCTCCGTCTGAGCCGAGCGCGGCGCGGAGGGGGCGGCCCTGCCGGCCGGGAGGGGGGGGCGCGGGGCGGAGCCGCGGGCTTGCCTGCGCCGAGCCTCCCCGCCCCGCCACTCTCCTGCCGCCCGTCTCCCGCGGCGACGCGCACTCAGCCGCTGGGGGGAGACAGCGGCGCGCCGGGCCGGCGGGCTGTGGGCTGCGGGGTCTGGGCGCGGGAGGCCAGCCTGCGGGCAGAAGCCTGGGCGCGGGTGGGGGCTAGCAGGAGAAGGGGCATGTGAGCGCGCGAATGGGATTGTCTCAGACTTCGGTCCTCCCGCCCTTGCTGGGCTCGATGCGCCCCCGGCCCGAGCCTCTGATCTCACTTAACCTCGTTAGAACAATCCAAAGGGGAAGCGGCGTGGGGCAGCCTGATTACGAATTCCCTTGGACCAGATGGAGCCCAATGTCCCGCACAGCCGTCCTGAGCCTGCAGGGACCGGGACTAGGCTATCAGTGGCGGGATGCTTCCATAAAGACTGATCAAAGAATCGTGACAGGGGAGAAAGGGGTGGGAATCCGGATCCCTCCCGTCCGGTCCGGTCCCAAACCTCTTAAAGTCCCTAGAGCAGTGGTTCTCAACCTTCCTAATGCCGCGACCCTTTAATACAGTTCCTCATGTTGTGGTGACCCCAACCATAAAATTATTTTTGTTGCTACTTCATAACTGTGATTTTGCTGCTGTTATGAATCGTAATGTAAATATCTGATATGCAGGATGTATTTTCATTGTTACAAATTGAACATAATTAAAGCATAGTGATTAATCACAAAACAATATATAATTATATATGTGTTTCCCGATGGTCTTAGGCGACCCCTGTGAAAGCGTTGTTCGACCCCCAAAGGGGTCGCGACCCACAGGTTGAGAACCACTGCTAGAGTTAACCTTAAAGGGTTAATGTAATGCGAATTAACCCTCTGTCTCAGCAGGCTCCTGCCTTCTGAAAATGGGTCCCCAGGGGAGGGGACAGCCAAACACTGTTTTTTGACTCCTTTCCGAAAGGATGCGGGGAAACGCGTCCAACATTAGCGCCTGTGGGTGCTCAGCGCGGGGGACAGGACCCCCTGCGAACTCCAGAGTCCTGGGTATCCATGGCTGACCATCTGCGGGAGAGGAAGGGAGCCTCCTTCAGCCTGGACGCTTTCCTTCCTTCCCTCCTTTTCTGTCTTTAACCCTTGAAACTTATTTTTATCTGTGAAAATTTCGGATAAAATGCATGGTCAGAGCCTCAGGAGCTGGAACAACCTGGGAACTGGTGAACTGTCAATGTTTGCAGGAAGCGGGCTGCCATGCATGGTCTAGCATGGTCAAGCCCCGCGATGGTGAGAGGCAGGCGGAGATCACCTATGAAATATAGGAAAACGTTACCCCATAAAGCTAAATGGCTCAGGACTCTAACTTCACTACTGTTTCTGGTTAGAGTTCAATTTGGGGAGCCTCGAAGTTCATCAGCCGCGTGTGTTCATTCTGATGCCACCATGATTTTTTAAAACCGCTTTTATCATTTTCACTTTTCCAAATTATTAAAAAATTCCACTATGAAAAATAACTCTTCAGGCCACTGTGGACGGATACTAGTAAGGGTCTGGGGTTTGGTTTTCTGAGGTTGTCTACCAGATGTCAGCAGAATCCTCCCAAGCTGTGCCAAGTGAGCAGGAGGTGCCTGCACCCTGGCTTGCTGTTCCCTGGAAAGGTGACTATACACAAAGATGCATTTCTGCAGAGGCTGTTTTCTTGTGCGTGGAACTGGGCAGTGCAGTGGCCCAGGCAAGACCAGGGATTGGTGATGGACTATCAGCTGCTGCCGCCTGAAGGTCTATTTGAGTGGGTCTCTATGCTTTTTTGGGGGGCTCTGCTTTATCCAGTTCTGATTTTAAAGATAGGTTGAGAAGAAAGATGAAAATTTTCATCTGTGAAAATTTCACATAAAATGCATGTTCAGAGCCTCAGAAGCTGTAACAACCTCGGAACTGGTGAAGCTTCAATGTTTGCAGGAAGCCCGCTGCCATGCATGGTCTAGACCAGTGGTCGGCAAACTCATTAGTCAACAGAGCCAAATATCAACAGTACAACGATCGAAATTCCTTTTGAGAGCCAAATTTTTTAAACTTAAACTATATAGGTAGGTACATTGTTATTAATTTAATTAGGGTACTCCTAAGGCTTAGGAAGAGCCACACTCAAGGGGCCAAAGAGCCGCATGTGGCTTGCGAGCTGCAGCTTGCTGACCACGGTCTAGACTGGTCAAGCCCTGTGATAGTGAGACGCAGAGGTCACCTATGAAATATAGTCTGTCTCTTAAGCACTGTGAGTTCCTTTAACGTGGAGGGAGAAAGGCTATGAAAAGGTCCCATTTTATTGGTGAAGAAACTGAGTTTTGAAGAGGCTCAGCCGCTGACCCAGCTCAGCCATGTGCTTCCACCTACAGCCTGGTCCTTGTGCCTCCAGGCCCTGTGCTGAGGTTGGCCAGCTGCCTCAAACAGCGCACTGCATTGCCAGGTCTATGCCCTGAAAGCCTCCGCAGGTGTAGTGCTCATTGTCACAGAACCAGCTGACCTTGGGTGAGGCCCAGGGATGTGATCTGGTGTGGTTTGGGAAAGGTTTAACTGAAATCCGAAGGAGCTGTCTGTAAGGCCTTTATTTTCAAGTGAAATTATTACTAGGGTGCTAATAAAGTGTATTGCCTGGATGCAATAAATTTGAGAGTGAAAGGATCACAATTAATACTGATGCTAGGACAAGAGGCCAAAACAGGACTGACCGACATGAGATGGTGGTCATCTTATTATCTACCTATCACAGCATCTCTCTTCAGCTCTGGAAGGGCTAAAGCCATATGTCAGTTAAAAACTGGGAACGACCTAAAGTTACAACTAGAGGGGAAGTGTTAAGTAAATTATACCCACTCCACTTGAGGATGTATTATACAGCAGTAACTTTATAGTAATAAAATTATATAGCAAGTGAAAATATTTATGATTTACATAATAATGTAAGGCAGTGTGCAAAATTATGTTCACACTGTAGCTGCAACTACATAAAACTATGTGTAGGAAAAAAGACTAGAAGGAAAAAGAATTAAATGGTATAAACAATGATATTAGTACAGGTAGGTATTCTCATCTTACCCCCTCCACAGTCCTCTAGTTCAGCAATTTTCAACCAGTGTGTTGTGGCAGGCACAATGGGGTGCCACAAAAAATTTTAAAACATGCAATGCCTGACTATTTAGTCAGGGGCACTGACCTCTTTTCCCTTAGATTGTCAAATAATAACGTGACAATAGCCAATACAGTAGCTGCCTGGTGTGAATGAGTAAAAATTATACCTATTTTTTTGTCAGATCGGAAAAAAAAATTTTTTTTGGTATGCCGCAGAATTTTAGTAAATGGTTTATGTGTCCCATAAGATGAAAAAGATTAAAAATTGATGCCCTAGTCCGGTGGTCGGCAAACCGTGGCTCGCGAGCCACATGCGGCTCTTTGGCCCCTTGAGTTGGCTCTTCCACAAAATACCACGTGGGCGCGCACGTACAGTGCGATTGAAACTTCGTGGTCCACTCGCAGAAGTCAATATTTTATGGAAGAGCCGATATTTTGTGGAAGAGCCACACTCAAGTGGCCAAAGAGCCTCATGTGGCTCGCAAGCCGCGGTTTGCCGAGCTGCAGTTTGCCGACCACTGCCTACCAGGGTGGGCAAACTTTTTGACTCGAGGGCCACAGTGGGTTCTTAAACTGGACCGGAGGGCCGGAACAAAAGCATGGATGGAGTGTTTGTGTGAACTAATATAAATTCAAAGTAAACATCATTACATAAAAGGGTACGGTCTTTTTTTTTTTTTTTTTTTTTTAGTTTTATTCATTTCAAACGGGCCGGATCCGGCCCGCGGGCCGTAGTTTGCCCACGGCTGGTCCATTCATCCGAACCTTTACTTCAGTGATAAGAAGACCTGTGTGTGTGTGTGTGTGTGTGTGTGTGTGTGTGTGTGTGTTTAATAAATCTTTATTGTTCAGATTATTACAGTTGTTCCTCTTTTTCCCCCCATAGCTCCCCTCCACCGGGTTCCCACACCACCCTAACCCTGACAATGATTGCTGCGAGCATCTCTAAGAGTAAGCCGCCCTCATGTTCCTGTCCCAAAGCCAGATAGTCCAGTTTCTCCCCATATGTGTCTGGGTCCCCCAGAGTCTGGCCCATAGAGCCTGGAGTTCAGAGCAAGCAGGAGCTTGTATCTCCCTCCCGGTTTAAAGAATAGCACATCTAGGTGCCAGCACTTTCCGCGCCTCTGGACCTCTTACCAGTCTCAGTGAGCTTTCTTCACCTCTCTAGTTGTGGAACTTATGCTCAGCCAGCTTTCCCATGGTTCTGGGTGGTAGTTGTTCTGCCATTTAGTTGTAATTTTGATGTGGTTGTGAGAGGCAGTAAGTATAGGTGATTACCTATGCTGCCATCTTGGTTTCTCTCCCTGTGTGCTTTGTAAACCACC